CTTACGTGTTTTAATACCATATTCCTATTTTTATTTCTATATATATTCAATGATAAAAATTTTAAATTATGGATGTATTCTTGATTGAGTTTAATCTATTCGATATTATCTCATTTTTGGAAATCAATGTTCTAGCATTATCTGTTTATTGTTAACATTTGATTTAAAATCTTGATTCTTGATTGATTTATTAGATGTCCAAATTTGATTTTATCTCATCACATCTAACGTTTCAAGATTGGTGTGTGAAGTGTTCATTGATATCACATCCTTAATAGGCATGTAAATAATAACATACATCTAAAAGTATGTTTTCTATATTGAATTCATGACTCAATGCTCATGGTATCATTTTAATTGGAAATCAATGTTTTGGCATTATCTGTTTATGGACACCATTTGATATAATATCTTGGTTGATTTGTTTTTTAATCTTATTGTATCGATTTTAGTGTATTTTTTTATCTTTTATAAACATTATTAGATATAAAAAAATCTTTAAAAACAATTGTTGAAGTTCTTCAAAAGATAGGTACTTATGAAATTAAATCAATGTCATTCATATATATTAACATGCATAGAACAAAGCTTGCAATTGAAACCATTCATTGTGATGATGTGCATAAATATGGACCATTCTTGAGTGTGATTGACAGTTATTAAAGCTTATTGTTCCATCAATCTATTTATGTTGTTGCATACTTTCACAATCCATCCTACCGATAACTCTTAAATATTTTATGGTACAAAACTAAAAATACATTGATTTGATGCGTATCTTTTCTTGATTGTTTGTTTCATCCATACTTAATTTCCATTATTTTTTTGTTATTGAAGAATCCTGAAGTAATTCACGGTTTATATTAAGTGTCTTGTCCGACTAGAGGTCGACAATGGAAAAAAATTTCTACATCCATGTAGATAATGATTTCTCATTTCTACTACATTTTACATCTAATTTGATAATCAAATGGCATATGTCAAGTGATTTGGTTGCTTCCTATGCTTTCAAGATTAAACTATCCATAGAGCTCCATTAATGGTTGTGAAAATAGTCAACTGGCCGTGTTATTTGATTATAAATTAGTTAGAAACATTTTTATTTGTTTAAAAGGATTTTTGGAAATTATTTGTAGTTAGTCGATCATGTTTATTTAATTGATTTGAATTGTGTTGTTATTTTGTGAGAATCTTTTGAGTAGAGGATCATAAGCTTAGTCATGTGTTAAGAATTTAAGTTTGGTTTACTTTTTTGACCTTAGCCAAAGAAAAAGAAAATAGATATGAAATCTATTTACTTTCTTATTTTTAAGAAATAAAAAATTTAATAAATTATAAACTAGTTTTAGATTATAAAAATAATTATTTAATTTAATAAGTAAAAATTTTTGAAATTACAGCATCATATAGGCTCATTGCTAGTAAAATTAAAAAGGAGAATTAGGATTAACTATAACTCTTTAGGTTTCTTGAAGCTGATTATTCAATATTTAACATGAATTAAACCACCTTAATCACCTTAGGTTAATAAACAAAAAAAAAATTTTCTTTATGTAGTAATAGTATCACAATATTGTCCCAAATGACACCGTTGCCATGTCAAAAAGCATAAAAGCCTACATATGTATGAAAATGGTTAGGATTGAAATCCGATAAGGAGAAAAATTGATGCTTATAGTGAATGGTGGGATGAAAAATGACATGTTAGTGTTTTTTTACCTAGAAGTTAGATGTTTATTAACATTTTAAGATAATATTAAGAAAACTACTTTGAAAACTATTTTACAGGAAATGCTTGATGCTGTAAGATTTAAGTAAGAAAAGGATTGATCTTGAGTTATAAGACCTTTTAGATATAATGTTTATGGATGCAATAGCCATAGGAGACCATGTGTGGCCACGTTCCCTAGATGTTCTTTGAAGTAGCACATTTATAAAGGATGTTGCAACTTACGAAAGGGTAGACTGATTGAAATGGGGATACACTACTTAAGACTAAGTTGAAGTTTGAGGTTAGGTCTAAACTCAAAGCTTTCGATCAAGGGAAACAAGTTAACCTCGATGTTTTACATACGAAAAAAAAAAAAGCAAGCTGGAAAACTTGTTCTTCTAGGAGCTAAGAAACTGTCTTTTGAAGTTGGATAAATTTTGTGATAGTAACTATAGTAGGAAGAACTCAGCTTACATATCTTATGGTTTTTTGTTCTCTTTATAGTATTACTGAGGCAATGAAAGTGTTGAATAGCATGGAAGAGGAAATTCCAAAAAAAAATAGTCTATATCATTTCGCCACTAAACTTTTAACAGATAATGTTAAGAGAGATTTTCCTAAAACTTCTTGAAGATACCAAGGCTTGGTGGTTAAATATGGGATTTGATGATAGCACTAATTTCTATAACTTTTGGCACAAACAGCAGCTTGAATTTCAATCATATCCACATGTACTTTCATCCATTTATCCTAAAGTGCGTTTTGTTAGGAATAATGACTTAAATCCCATAACAGATTTATTTGAGATTGGTTAGATATTACTTGATGGATAAGAAGACTTACAGAAAAAGAATTCTAAAAGAAAAGTGATTCTTGATAGAAGAATTTTAAGAGAAAAAAAATTCTTGATAAGAGAATTCTAAGAGAAAAATGATTCTTGATAGGTAAGTTAGTATACTTATAAATATGTGAAATCTTTAAAAAAAATATGTAAGAGAGTTGTAGGGTTTTATAGGATAGATATCTCATAGGACTAACAAAGATTAACATATTTATGGGTATGTATGTTACAGTGGACTATAAGATACTGAAAAGGTCCATATAGGTATGCTGTATATGTTGGAGTGGACTAGAGGAGACTAAGATGATCCACATAGGTATGAGTGTATGAGTGTATATGGGTATGCGTTTGCTTGAGTTGAGAACACTCCATAAGATTAAAAGAGATTTAGAGAGTCTTATGAGTATTGATTGTTAAGTGAGGTTAATGTGATTTGTATGTTTATAATTCTCTATAACTAGTGGATATTGTTTCTCATCCGTGAACATAGATCGATTGGACTGAATCAAATTAAATTGTTATTTCTTGTGTGATTAATTAATTATTTAATTATATTTCCACTGGCGTGATTGATTAGAAAACTTTTTTGCCTAATAAATTGTATCAGAGCATGGTTCGAGCCATGGGAAATGGCAAGTCTAAAAAAGCTCGACTCAAGGAAAAAGTTCGAGTTCGTGTTTTGAATATCGATTTGCATGAAATTTGAAGACACGCAAGAGAAGATGATTGCGAGACTTTCATTGTAGGTAAAGCCAAGTATGTCTAGTATGAAAATTGATGATTGATGAAATTTGAGTCAAGATGGAGATTATTGGGAATAGTGACTCAAATCCCAAAATAGATTTATTTGAGATTAGTTAGATATTACTTGATGGATAAGAAGACTTGTAAAAAAAGAATTTTAAGAGGAAAGGGATTCTTAATAGAAAAATTTTAAGAGAAAAGAGATTTTTGATAGGTACATTAGTATGCTTATAAATAGGTGAAGTTTTTATAGGGTTAAATATGAGAAAAAGATCCAAAAGAATTGTAAGATTTTATGGGATAGATACTTCATAGGACTAGAGGAGATTAACGTCTTTATGGGTGTGTATGTTGGAATGGATTATAAGAGACTGAAAGAGTCTACATAGGTATAGGTGTGTATATTAGAGTAAATTAAAAGAGACTGAAATGGTTCACATAAGTATGGGTGCATGAGTGTATATGGGTATGTGTTTATTTGAGTTGAGAATACTCCACAGGTCTAGAGGAGATTGAGAGGGGCTTATGAGTATTGATTGTTGAGTGAGGTTAATATGATTTGTATATTTTTAATTCTTTATAACTAGTGGATTTTATTTTTCATCCTGAATATAGGTCAGTTGGACTGAATTATATTAAATTGTTGTTTCTTGTGTGATTGATTAATTATTTGATTATACTTTCACTGACTTGATTGATTAGAAACATTTTTTGTCTAAGTAGTGGTATCAGAGCTGTCATGATCCTAACACCTTTAAATACCTTAGTTTGATGTTTAATTTGGTTTGAAAGTATTTTCTACAATCTTATCTTAAGGTACTTTAGGTACCTTGTGTTTTGTATTATCTTTGGTATATTTTGAACAAATCTGGTGGATGTATTGTAGTTATGCAAATATTTGATGGTGATACTCTGCTTATATTGTATTCAGTGTCTTCGAAAGTTCAACAAGTGTGCGGACAACATTTCTCTTCTTAAATCTGGTTTCTGGATTCAATCATTGTTTTAGGGAATTGATATATCTAATTGTGCAGATGGCATTCCATACGATTAATAAGAGCAAGGAATGAAGCAAATGTTCAATTTTTTAATTTTGGTCATACAGTGGCTGATATAAATATATTAAGAGAATTATAATTTTAAGGAACCATGCTTGAATTCAGCATATATGAAGTTACATGGTTCTATCTCAATTTTTTTTTTTTTTGTAATTCCAGAGAAGGTATTATATCTTTTCTTTTAAAATTTATTTTCTCTCTTTCCCATTCTCTCCTAAAATCTTCAGAAGTTTGGTTATAAATGTTTAAAAAGAAAGAAGGGCATACCAAGGTATGCACACAGAATATGCTCTAAAGAATCTTCAGATGTCAGAAGAATTGAAAATATACAAGAATTTACTCATCACCCAACCATGAGGGCAAATGAAACAGCAGTATTTTGCCTGCAAGTTGTTCCTAAGAGTTATGCAGGATAATCTTTGTATCAGATGTCAAACGTTTTTTTTTTTTTGGCCAACAGATGTCAAAAATATTTGACTCTATACTATTCCTATCTACGCTAGTGTATGAAATCAACCTACAGATTAGGATCTGCAGCAATGCTGAATCAGCATATTCCGATGGAAACCAAGCAAAAGTATTTAACTCTGTTCTATTTCTATCTATGCTAGTGGATGAAAACAAGAAGAAAAATTCGGAATCTGCAATAATGATGAATCACCATCTTATGGATATCAATCAACAAACTGACAAAGACCTTTTAGTCCTTGATAAACACTCCCTGATCATGGCAGTAGTCCGATGCAGTTGTCATACTCGAAGTCCATCCCATATACAGTTGCTGAGTCCAATAGCAGATCATCAGAATTCTGCAATGCGAGGGGAGAGTCATTCATTGGAGGTCCAAGAGAACTGCAGCACCCTGGGCAGACAAACAATGGTGGCACAGCCTCAGAGTCCTCTATGCCACAGCACCGTGTGTGCTGCCACACCTCACAAACGTCACATGCTACCATCCTCTCCCCATCATCATCCTGAGCCCCACATTCGCATCTCATTATCCAATTGTGAGCGCCACCTTCATGCCTTAGCTTACTGTCCCAATCTATTCCACTCCCTCTGACCAGAATTTCTGCACCTGACTCAAGAGCTCCAAATAGCACATCTTTATCCTCCATTTCATCCAGGTCGCCAATCTCCGTCACCACAAGTCTATCCATAATACAATAGGTATCTCTCAGTGCTTTTTCAGCTGCTTGCTTTAGGTCGAAGACTGTCGCATGTAATGGAACCATGACAAGTTCACCAGCAGGTGGTTTCTCGGTCAATATATTGTCTACATCAAGCAAACTGGGCATGACTTGGCAAAAGAATCTCAACAACTGATCATCTTCATCCCTAAAAGGCCGATCCTTAACAAAGTGTTTGCTATCTAGAACTGCCTGAGTAGCAAGTTCCAGCAATTCTGATTCTGGATAGTTCAGCAGGATATTATTATACAAATACACCACATCATTGTAAGCATCAGTTCCAGGGATCAGAGCGGGCAAAGCATCTGGTAGAGGGGTTTGATGTATTTCCTGTTCTGCTTCTGTCCCATTAACCCCATTGTCTAAGTCCTCAATCGTGTATTCTAATATCCGAGATGTGTTAATTCCACGGCGGACAATGTGACATCCAACAATTACATTGTTCATTGATTTCAAAACATAATCCAGCAAACCTGTATCACCAATATGCATCCGAGCTGCATCTCTTAGATCTTGCCTCGTCATCCTACCATGACCGTACTCAGATTTATGTTCCTTCAAAGCTTCGACAATCACCTCTGCTGCAAATTCTAGCCTTTTTGCAGGCCATCGGCTATCCATATGAGCTATGACACTCGTAAATTTCTTACATCTCAAATATTTTTCTTTCGAAGTGGCCTTCTTGTGGAGTGATATTCTCATTGAATTTTTCTGTGTAGAAGCTGGAGGAGCGGTTGTAGCTGTAGCCAATTTCTTCTGCAGTGTGCTACGAGATTTGATAGTAAGCATAAACTTGAAAAGATCTCTGATAGTAACCAACTGGCTTTCACTTAGATCTCTATAATGCTGAACCATGCACTTGATTCGTCTGCACTGGTCCCTGTCACTGAAATCTTGAATAGTTTTGTCAAGTTCATGGGAGCTGAGAATTTCAATTGCTCTATCATAATTTTGCTCTAAAACACCATAGCTTCCACGGCAGAACTTGTAACCCCATCTACCAAACCATGTATGTCCATATGCGACTCCATGGAGCAAACGTAGATCCATACCGTGCTTCTTTGACACATCCTCCACTGAGATTTTCCTGAAAAATGAAAGAACGGTCATAAAGTAACATTCTTAAATGTTTACTAGGCTAATTTGAATCAATCAGTAAGTTGGTTTTACCGTGCTCTAAGAATTTCACAGATACGATCCCAAAGATCCATGATTTCCCTGCCACAAAGATACTTAGAACCACCTTCAATTCCATTGACGCAGAGCAGATGACCAAATCCATTACAGTGAATCAACCCATGCAAAAGATGCGAGTGGATGTTTAATACACCAGCATCTAGAGGCTTATTCCAGTCTCGATCATTTGGTATTACTACATGATACTTCCTTTTTGAAACAAAATGGTTGCCCCAACCTAAAAGAACACAACAGCAAGAAAAAGTCAGTTTTATTACTAGGAGAATCAAATGCAGGAAGAAGGCAACTAATTGAATCAATAATATTTAGCATCCATAGTTTCTGCCATTTACTATCAGGCAGATTAAAAGCAAGAGTACATGGCTAATCTCTATTTATTGGAGGCAATCCTGAAAGGCTTAGAGATATTGCATTCCATTGAAGATGGTAATGATACTTTCATATGGCATGAAAATTAGCATCCACATGGTCCTTCATGCTTAAATTTAGCCGAAGACTTGTAGTATTTGATTCTGAATCTGTTAACATGCTAAAGTTGCAAAAAAAAAAAAATTAAAGAGAGAGAGAGAAAGAGAGAGAGAGAATGGAATTGGCCTCAAGGGAGATACAATGATTTAGTTGATAGTCCACCTATGCAAAGGAAAATGGCTGCCATCAAATTACTGGAAATACAGAAAAGCTGTCACTAGGAACTTCCTTTGGCAAAACTCAAAGGCAGTTGTAGGTTGCTTGGCATAAGTTTGTATGGCTTCAATACTATATTTCTCAGATGTGCCTCTTAGACTGGATGTCAATTATAAAAAGAACTACGGTTAAATGCTCAGAAAACTGAGGGATTGCTGTACCACTTCCCTGTTTACTCTCCGATAATTCCGAGGAAACAAGAGATTATGTTTTCATGCATTGATCTGATCAAAAGCTAGTAGAATTTCCAGTAAAGAAGGCAGTTGATGGTTCGATTTCCAGTAAACTTTTCTGAACAGTAGAAGATTTGCTGCTATGGTGGGAAAGAAAATACAGAAAAACTCCTCAAATTATACAAACCCCTATACAAGTAAGCTTCTATGGCAGCGATGAGGTCTAAAAGAAAATATCATAGGAAATCTAATCTTTGTTACTTTTCCATAATTAATTTTCTTTTATCTAATAGCTCCATTCTAGATGAAAAGTTGTTTCCAAAAGAAAGACAAACAAGAAAGTAAAATACATGGAATTAAATTAACCAGATTAATCCTAAATAGAAACAAGAAAAACCCCACTTGGGAAAAGAAAAGAAAAGAATCAAATGCAGAAAGAGAAAAACAAAGGAAAAGGCCAAACCTGTACATCTGCAGTGATCACAGAAAGGGTTTAGAGAGCGGTTAACATCCTCTTCAATGATGTATAGAGGGACGACACAACTCCTGTCATGAACAAGGAAGGTGCACCAAATGGGCATTCCTTTGACGCAGTAATCTTCAGTCTCAGCACATTGTTTAAGGAAAAACTGAATGTTATCTCGAAATGGACCGGTGGGGTTGATGGGGCAACCAGGTTCAGCAAATGAATGGAACGCAAATAACTTTGGCCTTCTCTTTCTTTTCCTGAAGGTTTCTAGGATTGGAATCGACATTTTTTAAGCAAAGGCTTTTTGGTTTTCTTCTTCTTCTTCTTCTTCTTCTTCTTCTTCTATCTAAATAAGATTTTGAGTATATGAAGATGAGAGAAATCAAAGAAAGCGTTTTTCTACTTCTCGGGGGGTTTTGCTACTAACTGACTCAAGTTTGCAGTTAGTTCGTTAAGACTGTGGGAACTTTCCTTGCTCAAATTTAAAAAAGTCATGCTATTTTTATTTTTTTTTTTGCGTAAAAAGAAGTCAGCTCTTCTCAAGAAAATGAATTACAACAAAGCTCCTTTCTTTAATGGGGTAAGTTTAAATTTTTTAGCTTCAAGGTCAGCAAATAATAATCATTAAATTTGTATAATTAAATGTCAATTATTGATTAAATTTTAAAATAGAAAAGGGTAAAACTTACTTATCAAATAATGAGATTGTATAATAAAATTTATAAAATTTTATATATAATTTAAATAATATTCACTTTATGTAATAATTTCTTATTTTTCACTTTATTACATGTTTATGAAATTATTTAAAAATAAAAAAATAATTAAAAATATTTATTTTTTAAAAAAATTTAATATAATTGGTATCTTTGAAAATAGCTAAAAAATATTATAAAAATAATTCTAAAAAAATTAAAAACTATTAACATAACAATTCTTTCAAAGAAAAAATTAACTTAAAAAAAATTTATAATTTAAATAAAAATAAAAAAATTATTAACATAATCAAATGAGAGAAATAACAAAATTTATATCAATTTATGTAAAATGACATAGAAGTGTCATAACATGTTAAAAAACAAGCTATAAAAATTTTAAACGTAATTGAATGTAAAAAAAAGAATTAAAAGAATTACTTTAATGTAAATAATTAAAATAACATGTAAAATTTAAATTAAATATTTTTTATAAATATATAAGACAATAGATAAAAATACATTCAAGGATAAAAATTAACGTAAAAAATGATATTTTAAAAAATAATAATAAAAAATTTATTAACGTAAGCATGTTAGAGGAGTCTTTAAACTTGTGTCATTTAGCAAAAAATATGTTAGAAATATCGTAAAACTTAAGAAATAATTATGATAATTATAAACTTAATGAAATAAAATAATAACTATAAAAAGATATTATTGTAATATAAATAATTAAGATTGCAAAGTAAAATTTTAATTAATTATTATTCCTATAAATATATAAAAAAAATCTAATAAATAAAAAATATAGATAACATGAATAATTGAAAGGAAAAGTAACATTCATATCATTTAATGAAAAATGAGTAAGAAGTGTCATAATATACTAAAAAAAAACTATGACAATTATATTGAAAGTAAAAACAAACGTAAAATATATTATTGTAACATAAATAATTATGATGGTAATATAAAATTTTAATTAATTATTGTTATATATATAAATAAAATAGATATAAAATAAAAAACAAATTGGTAACGTAAACAAGTGTGAAAAAAAGTAAAATTAGTGTCATTTAGCGTAAAATATGTAAAATTTGTTGATACACAAAGAAAGAGTTATGACAATTCTAAACATAATAGAAGATAAGAATAATCGTAAGAAAATGTTATTATAATGTAAATAATTATACTTGTAATATAAAATTTTAACTTATTATTACTCTTTAAAATTTATAAAGAAAATAGCTGAAAATTGAAAAACAAATAGATGACATAAAATGAGATCATTTGGTGCAAAAACTGAAAGAAGTATTGTAATACACTAAAAAAGAGTTATTGTAATTTTAAGTGTAATTAAAGGCAAGAATAATCGTAAAAATAAATTATTATAATTTAAATAATTAAGTTGCCAATATAAAATTTTAATTAATTATTTTTTTAAACATATAAGAAAAATAGCTAAAAATTAAAAATATATATTAGTAATGTAAAAATGTGAAAAAAAAAAACATAAAATTAGTATCATTTAGCATAAAATTTGTATAAATCATCGTAACATGCTAAAAAGTACACATGGTAATTCGTATATTTGTGTCACGTAAAATATTAAAATTTGTGTATTTGTTTTGTGTTTTACATGAAAATTACGTGTTACAATTCATATCAACACGAAAATATAAAATGCTTTTTTTTTGTTTTGTTAAACTCATATATAATTATTGCTAAAATTTTAAGTTATGTCATCTTTATTTCTTATTTGCATGTACTGTTACCATGTCGTGCCACTTTATTGTGTTTTAGATTGCTAGATTTACTAAAAAACATTATGACAATTTTAAACATAATAAAAAATAAAAATAGTTATAATAACATATTATTATAACATAAATAATTAATTTGACAATGCAATATTTTAATTAATTATTGTTTTGTAAATATTTAAAGAAAATAAATAGAAATTAAAAAATAAATTAATAAAGAAAATAAGTGAGAACAAACGTAAAATTAGTATCATTTTACCTAAAATAGGTAAGAAGTATCATAACACATTAAGAAAGAATTGATAATTTTAAACGTAATGAAAAAATAAATAACCATAAGATGTTATTGTAAAATAAATAATTATGTTGACAACTTTAAATTTTAATTAATTTTTGTGCTTGTAAATATTGTAAACACTTAATTTTTTCTGGTTTAAATCAAATTTGTTCGATTTTTTCCTCAATTTGCATATTATTATTAGATTTATTCAAACTTGTTTTGAGTTAGTCTTTTTTAATTTAATTTAATTTTTATTACTATCATTTAGAATTAATTTACGATATATAAATATACAAATAAATAATTAATAAATCCAATTATTATTACTACAATTAATCAAAAAATATAAAAAAATAATTAATTATAAAAATTAATTATCAATTAAAATAAATTACCAAAAATTAAAAAAAAATAAAAAGAGAAACAAAAAATGGACAATAAGACAACTTCAAATCTCTACACCCTCAACACCCTGCTCTATTTCATCTTGCACTCCATAATTCCTAATCTCAGCTCCATTACTCTAACCTTTTGAATATTTTGAATTGTTTACAAAGAAGCATATTAAAAACCAAAGAGGAAGAGCCTTGGAACAGAGCACAAAAGACCCATTTTTCCACCATGGAGGCACCATCTGCCTAACAAACTAGAGCTCCACAGCCTCAGCCCCCACACCCTTTACAATAGCTAAGCCTCCCACAAGACAACCGCACACAACCTAGCCTTTTAGGATGAGCCCTTTTCTTTCACAAATGCCCAAACACCTAGCCTCGGCCTTCTTAAAATTCCCAAAACCCTAGCCAGCCTCATGATCGGTGCCATCAACCATATGCAACAGCACCCTCTACCTATTCCGTCGCTCGTACCCCTGACCCATTACCACCCAAGCACCTATTTTCAAAACCCTGGTAGTCTCAACCTTTCCCACCCTCAAGCGACAGAACCCTTGAAGACCTCATTCAACCATCACAAAATAGCCTCAACTACATCAGCCACCAACTGCATCAGCCATCCATACATTCAACTTAACAACCTTAGTCTCGCCTATTTCAGAGCCTCATCGTTGCACCTAGAAACACCAATCACTCAATCATCAACCTACCCATAAAACCCTTGCTTTCAGAGCCCCAGTCCCATACCCTCAATTTCACCACTTTTAATCCCCTAACAGAGAAAGTAAGCACCCATTTCCTCTCTAGTGCACTAAGATTCGGCTTCTCCTCCTATAAACCTCGCACCAATAACTGCAAAGCCCTTTTAAACAACCCCTGTGCTACCTTTAGAACCCACACCAATAGCACCCTCACCTATACCAAACTCCCTCTTTGATACCTATCCACTGCTCTTTTAATAAAACAAACCACCCCAGACAGCCTTTTCAACCTAAAAAAAATCTACAACAAAAAATCCAAAAAAATCATTAAAAAAACAAACATAATCCTCCCCGTAGGAAGGAACCTAACGTCATAACCACCATAGCCAAGGCTATTCTGAAAAGAAAGTAAAAAATAAAAAATCAACTTCGGTTTAAAAAAAAATATAACCAAATTAGAAAAAAATGACATCGAGTCTAGGATTTGTTGGGTCTGGTCTAGGGGATTTTAGGTTTCCATTGATGAGACTGGGCTTATGGCTAGCAGTGGTAGGCTTCTGACAGTGACACTGTGATGGAGAAATAGGCAACTTTGACAACATCATTTGCAACAAAAGCATGGTAGAGTGAAGAGCTCAAGAAACGTCAAAGGCATGGTAGGTGGCTAACAACAGTGATGACGGCTTTTAGTTTGAACAACAGTCTGTTTTATGTTGAAGAAGAGTTAAAGGTTTTTTTTTTTTAAAAAAAAAAAGGATAAGAAATGAAAAGGAAAAAAATTTTTAAAGGGCGTTTGGTTTGCAAAATCTTGACTTTCAAGAGAAAGTGTGATTTTAGGGAAAATGTGATACTTTTGATTTTCTTTCATTTTTAGGGTGTCCCGTGTTCAAATTCACTCATTTGGTTGAAAGAAATCCATATATATTAATTCTTTAATAATTATTATAATCTCTTTAACATATATGAAACCTTTAATAGCAAAAGAAGACAAATGTTTTATTTGATTAAGGTTTTTATTTATAAAATATTATCAATAAAAAAATATTAGAGATTATTTAAGATATTTTTGGTTGAAAAATGCTTTAAATAATCTCTTTTATTTTTTTAAAAGAGATTTTTTAAAACTTTTTTATATAAAAATACCTTAAATAAATATCATTTAAAAAAAGTATTTTATTATTTAAATAATATTATTTAAGGTATTTTTAATCAAAAACACTTTAAATAATCTTTAATATTTTTTAAAGGAAATTATTTAAGGTCTTTTTTTGTCAAAAACATCTTAAATAATCTCTAATTTTTTTAAAGGGGATTATTTAAAGCATTTTGATAAAAAAAAATCTTAAATAATATCGTTCACTTTTTGGACCATATTATTTAAGGCATTTTTTACCAAAAATACCTTAAATAATTCATTTTATTAATTATAAGATTTAAGAGATAAAATAAAAA